CAATGATGAGAAGAAACGAGCATTGTCCCTGCGTCCCTGTGGACATACTTAAATCATTAGTACATATATAAAATCAAAGTAAGAGGAATAAAGAAATTGTGATATGGGAGAGATGAGTGTATCTTACAGAGAGCGTCAAGACGCGGCTGAGAAACAGAGCCATTTTTTTGTCTATCTTCTTTCTCTGTCCGAAACCCTAATTGCTCTTCTCTCTTATTCAAAAGACCTCAGACGAGTTTGGCTTTGGAAAATTTCCATATATAGTATTTCTTACATTAGACTAAATTAACTCGAGATGCAACATCCCAAAAATGGCAAGCTTTCATATCGAGAGTCAAATTTGATTCCGTTTTGTGCACAACACCCAACTACATCATCATTCAATTGCACGCGTTTCACTCCCATGTTTAAATTTTAATGGGCTTCAATTTAAGATATGAAGCCCATAATTAATAAGCCCAACTGAGATAGTCCGTATTCTATTGTTTGACTTTGGTAGTGTTTATATTACTTCCTTGCCTCTGGTACTGTCTGTCCCTACAATGCGCCCTTCTGGATTCATCCCACTGATCCCATATGCGCCCTTCTGGATTCATCCATCTCTGCTTAAGCTCTAAGTAGTCGTCATTCTACTAATTAAGTCTGCTTTGTGTTGTGTTCTTCACCAAGTGGTTATCACCATGCCACTTGTTAGGTCTTGTTTGAGCTTTCGTGTCTTGTGTTGTACCAAATGGTCATCAATATACCATTTGTTAGGATTTTTGTTCCTAGATGTTGTTTCCACTTAGGTTTGCTTCGGCTTTGATTTTTCTTTTTTCATCATCATTCCACCAGTTTTAATTTTAATATATATGATCTTGTGGCTGTGGTTGTGTGTTAATTTGTCACCTTCACAAACGAAAAGAGGAACTTCAAAGCTGAAACTTTAACACTGGATAGTAGGATTTGTGGCGAAAAGAGAGATCCGTTTTTAGTTGATTGATTTAATTACAAGAATGAAAATATCAGTCCTAATAATATTGGTCAGCTATCTCCAAGTAGAATGTAACTCATGTATTTTGACAAATGTTATTCAAATAATCTGCTGATAAAAAGAAGAAAATAAAAACATGGTAGTTCATTAGTTTCGATCGCTCCACCCGAGATCCGAGACATGTAAGAGCATCTCCATCCATCAGACACTGTGTGGGTGTCTCAAAAATACTATTTTAATCAATTTATAATAAATAGGTTATTTATTTAAATTATAAATTATAAAAAAAAAGAATTTGGCCAATAATAAAAAGACAAGTGGAGACACAGTTTCTCAAAGTTTCTCAAACCAGAAACTGTGTCTACACTCTCTCCTACTTTTATATTATTTTCTATTTTTTTAATCTTGAGACATTCCTCCAGACATTACTGTTGGAGATGCTCTAAAAAGTTTGTTCTCAAGTCTGTTTTTACCTGAAAATTATAATGATAAGATATTAATTAGTCTACTTTAAGTAGATTTAAATATCTTTAAAATATTTTACCTAATTGTATTCGAATGCACAAAATCTAGGTTTTGTTTGATATATCACCGATCGAGTTATTGGAATTCAATTCGATTTCAGATTAATAAGTTTTGATTTTGTTCGATTATTTTGGTTCAGTTTGGTTTGTAAGTCCGTCCCTAGTAACCTAGTTAGTAGTTACAAAGTTACAACTACTAGCCGTCAAAGAAAAAAATAGATTTGTTACAAGTTAACTCGGTTGCTTTTTTTTTATATATAAAAGATAAATTTGTTACATTAAATTTGGTTTGATCTACAGAAAACTATAGACAAAACAATAGATTTTATAAATAAATAAAAGTGAGCTGCTGAATATATTACAAATAGTCGAACATATGAAAACTAAAAATAATGTTAAACGATATACTGTATGTAATAGAAAATAAAATATCTCAAAACATAAGTTTGTCTTTGTACTATTTCTGTTTCGACATTCCTACTTTACTCTTTTTATCACCTCGTATATAAAGCACATGTTTATATTACTTAACCGGCCCCAGTCAGAAGCCCCACAAGATAAACTTAGTTTTCGATATTACGAGAGATTTCACGAAAACTAAAACGATCAGGAACAGCGTTAAACAACAGTCATTATATTAATAATTAACTCAAGAGACATCACACATAAGATAGATTTGACAACATTAAACCAAAGTTAAAACATCTAAATCAGAAACACGTAATTAACACATAATATTCTTAAGACACGAAACCATTATTAGAGAGGGTCTCCAAGTACCGCCGACCGCCGCCACCAACGCCTAGTCATCTTCATCGTCGATTTGGAGACCTTCAAAACCAACACCTGCATCTGAGAGATCACCACCAATCCAGGAAATATCTAGCTTGCTGCCCCAATCAGGAGGATACTCATTTCCAGGGAAGTTCTTCAAAGCCTCTTTCTCTTCTGCGGTGTAAGTTTCGGAACCACGTTTGCTAGGGCTGTTTTCACGGTTGAAATTGACGTCAGTGTCGGAACTAGAGTTACTAAGGCTGCTTTGACCGGTTGGAGAGACGTGGCGGTTCTTACCACCGTGGCTAGAGCTTTGACCGCCTGGAGAGACACGACGGTAAGGGCTCCTTTGACCAGCGGGAGAGACATGACAGTAAGGGCTTATTCGACCACTGGGAGACTACCACAACTAGTTTTGTTATTGTAGCTCTCTTAACGACAACCGAGACTAGTTTGACCACCATGGTTCCATTGGCCACTACCACGATTAACATGATCGTCATAATATGCATAAGTAAAAACAAATTATAAATGATGTGATCAATAGTTGTGCAAGGATTGTACAACTGTTCTTATTGATGCATATTAGCTGTGACTTAGAATACATACTTTTATATGTATATATTTCAAATCTTTAACAAAGTAATAGAGATATTTGACACAATTTTTCCGCCCAAGACTTGGGGAGCTTGACCACGTCCAGGACTTGGAGAGCTTTGACCATAATCACCATAGAATCCAGGATTTCCTTGATAAGGATTGATTCGCCCGTAACGTCCAGGACTTGGAAGGTAATTTTGACCATAACCACCATAGTTAGGGCTGCTTTGACATTCCTCATCCTAGAGATTAAGTAGCTCGCTTACGGTTTTTACCGGCTGTTTTGAAAGACTTTGCAACGGATTTAGCTCTTTTCAATTTGTATGGATGTTTTCAATAGAACCACATTTTCTCTACTTATATAGAAGCTTAAAGACAAAATAAGGAACCTAATTGCATCAAAAAACATATTCTTCATTTTTCTTGAAATTAGGACTGGAAGTGAAGAAAAACACAAATGAGATATAATGCAATGATTATTTATTGTTTTCGTTCATTTAGGGGCCGATTGGTAACGGCTGTTAGTTTTGGCTTTAGAGGCTTTGACTTTAAAAATTTGAGCTGCAGAGAATTTGGCTGTAAAGACTTTGACTGTAGAAACTTTGGCTGTTAAAATCCGATTGGTAGAACAAAGCTGTAGAAGCTGTGACTTATTATTTATTATTATTATTTTATATTAATAATAAATTTAAATAATGTTCAATTAATGTAAAATAGTCGACATAAAATTTCGCTAACGAAACAAAATGAACATTTTAAAAATAAATTAAAAGATATAAATAATTTAAATACTTATTTTGAATGATTCTTGAACTATTATTATGAATAATAATTGTTTTGAATTTTTTTTGTTGAATAGTTGTATAATTTTGGGTAATTAAAATTCAATAAAGCTATTAAAGATGAAGCAATTAATGAAATAATTGAAATAATTTTAAAAAAATACTAATCAAAACTCTCTTACACTAACATTATTAGTGAAATGGATCTTAAAAGAAAGATAAAAAAATGGTAGTAATTAATTTCTTAAAAAGATTTGTGAAAAAATATATATAAACTTGCAAAGAGTTTTTAAGAACCATGGGAGAAAACAAAAAAAACTTTTAATTAATATTTGGTTCAAAGCCATGTTTTCGAGGCTTTAGAAAAAGAAGGGAAATAAAGAAGAAAAAAAAAAAAAGAGGCTTTGAGAACTTTAAGAAAAAATAAAGTAAAAAAAGCCTAATTGGCAAAAACAAAACTGTGAAGACTTTAGATATGTCCTAAAGCCTTCAAAGTCTTGTTCCAATCACCCCCTTAATACTTTTTTTGTATTAAAATTTTAACGGGCACAACTTTTAAAAGTTGAATCTCACATGTTCCCAATTGTGACAACTTATATAAATCGTATAGTTGGAATTTCAAAAGATGTTTGAATTTATCTTTCATCATGTATTCATGTTTTCTCGTCCCACACGTTACACACTTAACAATTGGATTTTGAATAATACTCCATATTCACATTACATATCCTTTGAGGGTAAGGTAGGAGCATGTTACATACAAATGATATTGACATAATGCTCCTGTGCTCCATCAGTACTATAGTTAATCTATATTATGTGACTTAAAATGTCAAACTCAACCCAAAATCCATATATGTATAGCCTAATCAGTAGAATTCTAATTCTGAATCTAAAATGGTAAACAATTTTATAATCAAGTAATTTAATTACAATATTCAAAACAATTAAATTGAAGATGTTTGTTTAATCGGCTAGCTCCGATTAAGCAGGTCAATATGGGTTGGTATTTTATTACATATGCCCAAATTTGAAACTAAGGCCCATACAATAATCTTCAATTGTGACCACATTGATTGATGATGTATGTAGTTGGATGGATATCTGACTGCGAAAAAAGAGTCCAAGACATTAATTGTCTTTATTGGGCCGCGAAAAACTGAAATGGCCCAACAAGAAAAGGAGTTGACAGTTGAGGGAGGATAAACGGCGTGGCAATAAGGAGTCAAAGTTGCCTCCGCAAAAAGGAAAACCCTAATTCACTAAATCATCATTCATTAGTGAAGATGGGAAATTTAGTTTCTAAAGTTTCCATATTTGGGATCTTCGCATCTAAAACAGAGACTAGTTTGTTTAGAAAAAATGGAAACTTTGGAAAGCCAAAGCTGTATGTGGTGGCCCTTTCATTATAAGAGAGAAGATGAAGAAGGAGAGAGTTAAGGCATAAGCAATTAGGGTTTCTTTTGGGAGTTCCTAAGACAAGACAACAATGGCTCTGTTTTTCAGCCGAATCTCCAAGCTTTCTACTGTAAGAAGATACACTTATTTCTCTCATTTCATAGTCTCTTTGATTGAATTCTGACTTTTTGTTTGTGGAAATTGACAGGCTTGCAGGGTTTACAATGCTCGCTTCTTCTCATCACTTCCCGAGTCTCCGTATCTGCTGCTGAGCGATGAGACGGTGGGAGAGTCTTCGGAGGGTGGCAGAATTGTGAACCATAAGTTATTTGATCCGAGGACGGAAGCGATAGTGAAGAGCAGAGAGAAGACGCTTCCCAAGGAGCTCGAAGGGGAAGCTATCCTGGGAGCATCTCAAGGATGGGTTGTTTCTATGAACAAGAAGGATTCTTCATTACATCTCACGGATCTGTACAAGCCATGGGTCGTTTCATCACCAAGAGTCATGTCCTTGCCTTGTCTCGGGTTCGATCCTCGTGTCATGAAGTCACGAGTGTCTCTCTCCTCTTCTTCTCCTGACGAAGAGGACTGTACGGTTGCTGCAAAGTTCAATGAGTCACATCTGAGTATATGCAAGCCTACTTGTGATTCGGAGTGGACTCACTTCCAAACCCCTTTCCCACTCTTGAAAGCCTCTGATCTCATGTATTCAAAGAGAGACAAAGCCCTCTACTTTGCGTGTATTAAGGGTCTCTACATGGGTTCATTGGATCTCTGCAACAACAAGCTCAAGTATCAAGAACTGCGCTTTCATAACCTGCCTCAGATCCCAGAGGCCGACTGGGAGATGTTGGATACATGTTTCATGACCAAACACTTTGTGGAATCACCCTCTGGTGAACTTTTCTTTGTCAAGTGGTACGTTTTTTCTTACTCTTTTCTTTCTCTGTTTTCTTGACACAGGATAGAGAGATTAAGCTCTGCTTTTTATCTGGTGCAGGTACCGCAAATGCTTCCACATAGAGAATAATGAGAGGGAAGTGGAAGATATCCATAGCAGAACCTGGTCGTTCATGGTGTTTAGAGAAGATGAGACGAGCAGAGGCTTTTGTTACACTGAAGATATTGGCGATCTCTGCATTTTCCTTGGAAATAATGAAGCTTTCTGTCTCTCGGCAAGTATGTACCCGGGACTCGAGCCTAACTCCATCTATTTCGTCGCCCCTGGACTTGGTTCTTACCATCTTCCCTCTGGGACTGTCCGGCAGTACAATCCCCCTGGTGAACACAAACCCCACCGAAAGCCCTTCTGGATTCATCCCACTGATCCAATTTCTTCTTGAGCTCTTCTAGCAGGATCTGGGTTTGGTTAGTTTAATAAGTGGTCGTCTTGCCACTCAAACTCTCTGATTTGTCTTGGGTGTTGTGTTCTCCATCAAGTCCACTTGGGTCTACATTGATCATTTGTTAGGATTTGTATTTCCTGATGTTGTTTCCACTTAGGTTTGTTTATGTTTTGGCTTCATCATGCTACTCTCTTGCTATTCAGATTAGGACATCTTGGTTCAACGAGAACCACTTTGAATTTTAATATATATATATATGATCCTGTGTTGGCTCTGTGTTAATTGATGAAATACACAAACAAATATGAAAAGATTAACTTCGAAACTGAAAATTCTACAATGGAAAGTAGGATATGTGGCGAGAAAAGACATCACTCCTTATTTGGCCAACAAAAGTTTGCTTCCTACACAGGGGAGCTATTTGATCCTTAAAAGCTTACAAATTGGTCCATGTAAATATGGCTCTTAACAATACCTCTATCTTAAACAAAGAAGGGAAAATTAAACATAAGTTAATATATCATTTCACCCTTCTAACGTCTCCCGAAACTAAGAGCATCGCATTAGGAGTTTCATAAGCGCAAATTCAAACTTAAAGAAACCATCATTGTCATTTCATTTTCATCAATTGCATCTAAGTTGTTGTGTTTGTAATGGTTAGACAAAACAAAAGGTGAATAATTCATATTCCTCAAAAAAATTAGATTCTAAGTTATGAAATCCACGTTATTGAGTTAATCATTTGTAACAATTTCTTTAAATCCTGTGTTATTGGAAAACAAACTTCCTTGTTAAATTGTAAGTGACTTTAATTCTTTTCTAGTCAATTTGTAGGTAGTGCAAATACTCTTAATAAATTCAATATCCCAGCAATAAAAATCTGAAACAAAACCTTCTCAAGGGTAAAAATAGAGCCGTTAATGATGAGTCCTCTAAGGACTCCTGCCATTGTATTACAGAGTTTAAGAATTACTTTTGTTTGGACAAAACAGAGAAGAAGAATTACTTTTGTAAGGAAGGATATGAGGAATTGAGAAAGATTTAAATTTTAAATATTCTGTAATATATTGGATAATTTGTCAAGATTTGAATAACTGCAAATCTTGCATTAGTCAGATTTGATGAAACTATTAACCAAGCGATTTCACGAAACAAACAGAATATTCATAGTCATAATTATCAATCCTAAGCAACAACGTTAAACCAGCTTACCAAAGTACAAACAGACAAAATTATTAAAAGCCTCTTAACAACAAAAAAAAAAACACAAGATTATTAGAACACATAATTAAAGATATAGATAGTCGCCCAGTGAACGGTTGCCGCCACACATTAGCCACGGCCTCCGTTTCCTCCGTCACTGCCCTCGGATTCAGAATCTTCCCCGGTAATTACCCAAGCAAGATCCTTGTTGGTGCCCCATTCAGGAGGAAATATGCCTCCGGGAAAGTTCTTCGCAATCTCTATATCCTCTTTAGTGCGGGGAATGCGGCGAGGGTCAATTTCGCCTTCAGCAACTTGACCAAGACAAAGTTATATTCAGAAGAGATAGAACTAACAAATGTAAATAACAAATAAAGAAAAGAGATATGAGAGATAGGACAATCACTACCTCGACTACCACCACCGGCATAGCTCACCTGACCGCCACCATCGTTCCTCCAGCCACCACCACCACTACCGGGACTGAATTGGCCGGAGTAGCTCCCAACATGGCTATCATAGTTTTGGCTACCACCAGGATTGGTTTGGCCGCCGTAGAATCCTTGGCCGCCACCGGGACTCTCCTGGCCACCATAGCTTCCTTGTCCTCCATAGCCTCCTTGTCCTCCATAGCTTCCTTGTCCTCCATAGCCTCCTTGTCCTCCATAGCTTCCTTGTCCTCCATAACCTCCTTGTCCTCCATAGCTTCCTTGTCCTCCATAACCTCCTTGTCCTCCATAGCCTCCTTGTCCTCCATAGCTTCCTTGTCCTCCATAACCTCCTTGTCCTCCGTAGCCGCCACCGGGACTCGCCTGACCACTACCGGAATACGCCTGACCTCCACCGGGATACAGTAGGTCAGCAACACTCAGTAGGCTGCTACGACCGGGACTTACTTCTCCGCTAATGTTCCATTGGCCCCCGTAACCGGGACTTAACTGTCCGTTGAAATTCCAGTGACTGCTGCCGGGACTCGCCTGGCCACCGGGACTCGCATAACCGCCCCCGTAGTTCCATGGGACGCCGCCAGGACTCGCCGGTGCGCCACGGGGACTTTCCTGGCCGCCATATTTCCGACCACCACCGTAGCTCCCTCTATGCCCACGGCCCCGATGGTTAGGTTTCTCTTTGCCATAATTGAGGAACTTTTGAGCAAGGTCTTTAAATGTTCCCCCCATCTTTGCGTAGATTTAGAAGAACTGCTATTGTACTTATATAGAAGAAGAAAGATGTTGTAGCCATGATCAAAATTTTCACTTTGCCTGAAGAGGAAGGTTCGAATTTTTGGTTTAAGGTTGAAGAAGAGACTATTTGTGGTATAATGAATAATGATGGATGGACTAAATGTGAAGCGAAGAGTGATCTCTTTTATTTTCCATTTTAACTCTCTTTTTTTTTGTCAGTAAAGTACTTATATATAAGGATAGATTAAATTGGGTTATTGCATGAAGAGATGGAGACCCTTCAAAATTATTATGGACATGCATAACAAGACTTACACAATTACCAAATAAATTTTAAACAAAGATAATTACAGATAAAAGATAAACAAAAGAAAAAACCAAAATTATGATGAGTACTGCACTAATCATACATATATACTGTTTTCTTGGGACAAATATCAATATCTTCTTCATTTAATTTGTTTATAATGCATATCTTAACGAATTCATAGAAAAAGCTAACATTTTATGACAATTATATATATATCGGGTTCTTGCATGAAGAGATGGGGAGACCCTCCAAAAATTGTTTATCTGCATGCATAACAAGACTTCCACAATTACCAAACAAAAGTAAAACAAAAGATGAATGGAAATATAAAGATAAATACAAAAATCATGATGAGTAGTTGAGTACTATGACAAGACTTACACTCTTACCTTTATAGAAACTTGAAAAATATATCAACAGTTATTATTGTACTTTTGAAATGATATGATTCTGCCAATCTCGTATTCAAAAAATTTGAATTTTTATTTTAATTTTAAAAATGATCGCATGATTTTAGATTCACACCAAGATATGAAAATTATTATGTAATTTATCCCAATATAAAAAGAAAAGAAAGAAAATTATTTGGATATAAGAGGGAGCTCTTTAATGGGTCGAGGGTTTTGAATAAACGCACTCGCTATTTCCTTAATTCACCTAAATGTCTAGACTCGTAGAATCTTTTTTTTTTTTTTTTTTTTGTAAAAGACAAGTCTTTTATCTAATACAGAACAAATGAGTCCAGATCTCTCCATTTATTTCGCGAAATAGGTACCAGTTAAAATAAGGAAAAAAAAATCTTTCTAACAAGAAAAAACTGAAAACATGAGAACAACTTTAACATAAGTTTTCATCTAATGGTTCATTATATACCACAGAAATATTACGAATGGCCTGTTCCCAATTGTGCCACAACTTATCAAAAGCATAGTTGGAATTTCAAAAGATGTTTGAATTGAGGTAAAAGCAAAAAAAAAGATGGTTGAATTGATCTCATGGATTAATCAAAATGTTTGCATTTATGTTTTCTCATCCTACACGTGACACCCTTATCAATTGGATTTTAAAATGTTATATAATAAAGCTCCATATTCACATTACATTTCCTTTGAAGATGTGGTAGGAGCATGTTACATACAAATGATATTGACATATTGTGTGATCACCAAAATATATTCAGTCCAACAAAAAAAAAAACTGAAAACATATTCTGACTGATTAGATACTGCTACTGCTCCTCTACTCCACATTACTATAGTACTGACAATCCTTTCGATCGACGTCATTACTATAATCGATTAAAGTTTCTTTGCTTGCAATGTCCATAAAATAAAATAAAATCTTTTGCATGCATAAATGTCAATGATACAATAAGATAAAAATGACGATCTGTATAGACACACACGTATACTATGGCTCTTTGTGGATTAAGTTTTTCAGCCTTTGTTCAAGAAAAACAAAAAAAAGTTTTTCAGCCTATGAACGAAGAACATGTAGAGTGTAGAGTGTAGAGAGACACGGCAAATTAATACTCCAAATAATAATAATAAATAATCCAAATAAAATTCTTACACGCTCCAAATTTAGCGAGAGTAACAACATTGTTGCAAATTATAAGCATTAAGCAAGCGGGGAATTTAGAACAATTAAGTTCATACGTTCTTCTGATGAAGAACTTCTTCATGTAAGAGATGGATTCGAAGATGTGAAATGAGAAATTTTGTTGATAAATAGTTTATTGGTCACTGAATAAACTTATAATCAGAATAGCAGAAGTCAAAAAACTACAAGTAAAAGGTAGTCAAAATTATCGAAACTGGAACAATTTTATAAAAATATCAAAATCTACTTTGTTCAATCCATGATCGCCGTTCAAATATTTAACTTTAAATTACTAATTCTCATCGATATGTAATCACACATTTTTCAAAATTAATCAAGAGTCACTTTGCCATGCATGGCATGGGCGGATGGGCCACTCGTATTTAAATCAAAAGAATAGCCACATTATCATAGTCAGAGTCCTCGTCTCCTTAGACCATAATTAAAGGGAGAACATTTAGGTGTTCTTAGCCTTTTAAAAATAGAAAATATTGTGAATAGTGTTAGATCTGTTGTAGATCTGTTCTTGTTGTAGAACTGTTCTTGGCCCAGTTTTAGCGTGACGTGGCGCTTCATCATTGGCTACGAATTTTTGCAAAGGAAAAAAACATTTCATTTCTCCTTCGATCCGAAATCTATGCTAGGGTTTAATTAAATAATATGTTTGTTTGTTTGTTTTTTTATTTATATCTTTAATGTTCTTTTTTGTTTCATAAAAATTTGATATTATATTTTGTGTTTCTTTTTATTTTCAAATCTATTTTAGTATAAGTTTTTTAAGTTTGCAATTTAAAAGTTATTTCTTAAAGTTTTTAAAATTGTAAACTAATGATCTTACATTATTTCAATTTCAAATCAATTCCTATGATCTAAACATGTTCTACCAATAATCACTTACTTTACAAAAGATCTTAATTAAAGCTCTTACAATATTTTAATATTTTTTCTCCCTTAAGATCAAACTTCAAAGATGCACCCTTGCATATGCCCTTAAGAGTCCTCGTCTCCTTACAAGAACCAAAAACTAACTAAATCAAAATGTTACCTTCACATTATTTGTGGAGTACGTAATTCAAATCATATAGGTAAAGTTTTAAATTAATTAATTTATCATTTGAATGGTATGATGCACTTATGGTATCCAAAATTTTTTTTTAAAAAAATGATGCACTTATGGTTTCATTCTTAAAGCAAGATAACAGTATTCTTTATTTACATTATTTTATTTTAAGCGATGCATATTTTATTATGTTAGAATCTTGGAAGGTGCAAACAATGTTTGGAAAGCGACCCATGAAGATGAAATAATATAAAAGTTTTAAGAAAATAAATAACGACGATAAAAAAAAACTAAAAAAAAAAACTGAGAAGTTGACCGTTAAAAAAAACGAGTTGATAATCGATAATATGAAGGGTAATATTAGAGAATAGCCAAAATTTACAAGAAAATTAAGTTACTAGCCATGCGTCAGAAAAGTTGGGTAAATGACTCTTTTTGTGGTGGAGTAGGGGTGGGGAAAAGACCAATTAACCTTATAAAGATATAGTTTTTACAAGATAATATAATTGTTTGTAAGTGGTGGTGGAGATCCGGTGAAAAAAATAGATTCGGCGGTGGAAGTGATACGGTGGTCTTGGTCGCCATGAAGAATTTGTTTATGGAGGAGGTGATGGTGGTTACGAAAGTAGCGGTGGTGATGGAAGATTCGGGAAAAAACAGTAGATACGACGGTGGAAGGGATACAATAGATTTGGTGATCGTGAGAGATGTGGTTATGGAGAAAGTGTAGTGGTCTCGCGTAAAGGTGCTAGTGGAAGATTTAGAAAAAAAGTGGAAGAAACACCATAGTGATGTAAAGAAAATAGATTAAGATATAGATTTGATGGAAAAAAACAGAGAGGTCCGACAATGGAGATTGGAGAAGAAGATTGTGAAATTGTAAAAAATATCATGAAACATAGAGAAATTACATGAATTTATCATGTAAATGGCATGTGACATGAATAAAAATATGATTGCTTGAAGTAAATTGAAATAGCATGTGATATATTATCATTTGATGGAGAAAACATCATGTCCTTTTTAAACATAGCATGACATTTCGAAAAACATAACGTTCAAAGTATAATTGCTTGAAGTAATTAGAAATAGCATGTGATATTATCATTTGTCGGAAAATATATCATGTCGTTCTAAAAAATAGCATGATATTTCGAAAATATAATGTGTTCATAAAAAATAGCATGAGGAAGTAATTAAGCAATAACAGATGTCTACAAAGGCGGAGAAAATCTGGGGTTTCAAAACAGCGGGTAATATTTTAGAAATAATGATTTAACATTGGCGTTTTGAAACATAAAAGCATGATGCGATTCCGCGGAAATGACGTTGTTGGTGGTGGTGAAACTTCCGATTGAGCAAAATATAGTGAGAAAGATTTTAAATTCGTTGAAAAAAAATTGATTCTGGGTTCGAGCATTATTGAAGCAAAGAAGATGAAGGTGAAGAGAGTGACGGCAGAAGAGGGATTGAGAGAGAAGCCAAATTGAGGAGAGAGGAATGAAGAAATAATTTTTAAAGGTTGTACATGTAATTTACATACCCTTCCCAACAAGAAACTATTCACCATGGTTAGTTTCTTTATTCTTTTTAGTTTCATGGCTAGTTAGTGCATATTCTCTAATATTAATCCGTTAAGTTAAAAATGAAGGTGCTTGGGCCATGGCGACCACTAATAATACCTAAAAAACACACTTTCTCATAAAAAAATATTATTAATATAATGTAATCAGGTTATACGTAGTGGTTAAACTTGTAAATTTGACTTTTTGGCAAAATAAAAATAAAAAACAAGAGGTCAACATCGTACAATATATGAAAGTTATTTATTTCAATAAGTCAAGAAAAACATTATCAAAGACACTAGTACTAGTTTATAGAATTTTTTTGACAAGTGTTTTTATTTTCTACTATTATTTGGTAATTATATTTTCCTATTTTTTTCAGCAAACACTTAATACGCTAGTCGCTAGGGAACATTTACAAATGAGTCCAAACTTCTCCAGTTATTTCGTGAAATAAGTTATAGG